CTTGCATTAGCTTCCACACCATGCAGGCTGTGCCTTAGGGTCTCATGTATTAGAAAGTTTGACTTTGAGTCCTGCCACCTATAACTACTATTACTTATCTATCAGTTACTGTAATCATCAGAAAAACTTAGCTTTTTCCTTTTCCATTTTGTTTTTGTTTTGGCGAGAATATAAAGAAATAATTCATGGAAATGGATGGTCATGAGTTTCCTAAATAAGCTAAGGTGTTGAATTTTCTTTTTTCCGCTGGTAAGTTAAGTTCATCTATTTGACTACCCCATATACATACATTCTACAATCAATCAAAAGTACAAAAAAAAAAGATGAAGAAGGAAAAAAAGCATGTTCAGAGTTTAATTTGATAAACACTAGGGATGGGAGGAATTTGCAATTTTGGCCTTTATTCCCACCCTTTGTCCAATACTTTGGTTTCTTTTTCTAATTTAACATCAAAATTAGTAAGCAACTTCTCCTGAAACAATGAAAGAATCAATTCTAATTCAATTTGGAACTTTTTTTGCCAAAGGATGAATTGCAGTCTGTCATAACTACATATTCCCAGCAGCATTACTCACCTGCCACTGTAGCTATTTAAGATCTAACAGGTATCTCCTTATTTCTTTTTATTTCAGTAATCTTGCAATGTGGTTTCTATTCTGAGTTTTACTTACCGTACTCAAGAAACAGTGCCTCCCAAGTGAAAGAATGATGAAGCCACCAAAAACATCACCTGGCTGTTTAAAATATTTATTCTTATTTTTTATATAAATGTGAAGACAAATTTTTTCAGACAAAATTTAGTAATAATCAACAAATGTACATAAATGGAAAAGACATTGAATATTCTAAGAAATGTATTGCAACATCAAAATAAAACCCCCAAACGATTGTGAAGTAACTGTACGTTTAAAAGGTTTACTTCATTGTAACAGCTTAGCTTTGCTTTTTCTTAGAAAAATTATAAAGACTGCTTCCTGAGTAAGATATTTCTATTGAATATCAAAGGCCAATTATAAGTTGTTCTTCACCATGTTTCATTTTCCAGGTCAGAATGTCCTCTTCCTCCAATGCCATTGGGTACTTTTCTCAGAAGCAGATGCTTCTGATTATTCTCTAAGAATGACTGTAGATTTGGGAGATGTTAAGGCCTTGCCTTTTGTCCTATCCAACTTAAAAAAATATGGACTATGAGCAAAACATGAAAAAATAAGTGGATATATATGTCAGGCTTAAATGTCACAATGCAGTTTATTCTTATCTCTTGATATATTTGACATTAGCTTCTCTTAAACCCAAAATGAGAAGTTTAAAGGAACTTCAGATGGGACAGACTAAATTTTGCATTTTAGTTACTGTACTTTATAAACTGGACTTTTCTTGACTTATTTTGGAATGCATTTCACCTTAGTTTTCTTCTTGACATTCAGACCAGCATTTTGAATTCATCTGTAAGCTAAGAGTCTAAAGTTTTCTTTTTTTCACTCATGGAATTTCCGTATGGAATAGGAAAATGAACATTGCCTGAAGAGACTAGAGACTTTCTAGCTTAATTTTCCCAATTACAGATAAAACAACCAGAGAAAAGAAGTAAGTAACTCAAGCTGCACAGCTAGTTAGGGATGCCAAGTCATCTTGATAGTGATGCATAATTAGTCTCAGTTAATTCCAGTGTTCTTATCATTAACAGGTGCCAAGAAAAACAAACACATGGCTGCTGTTAATTTTACTTTAGTTACCGAGTTTGTCCTTTTGGGACTGACAGAACGTGGTGAACTGAGAGTCATCTTCTTTGTGTTGTTCTTGCTGATCTATGCCATTTCTTTGGTGGGGAATCTAGGAATGGTCTTTCTAATCCAAGTAACTCCCAAACTCCAAACACCCATGTATCATTTCCTCAGCTGCCTGTCATTTGTGGATGCTTGCTATTCGTCAGTCTTTGCACCTAAAATGTTGCTGAACTTCTTTGTGGAACGGGAGACCATCTCATTCTCTGCATGCATTGTGCAATATTTTTTATTCGTGTCACTTCTTACCACTGAGGGCTTCTTGCTGGCAGCAATGGCTTATGACCGCTATATGGCCATTGTGAACCCTTTACTTTATAAAGTGGCAATGACTAAAATGTTTTGTATTGTCCTGGTCATCGGGTCTTGTGTAGGAGGCTTAATCAACTCATTGACACACACCATTGGCTTGGTGAAACTCTCCTTCTGTGGACCAAATGTCATCAGCCACTTCTTCTGTGACCTTCCCCCACTGTTGAGGCTGGCGTGTTCTGACACATCCATGAATGAATTGCTGCTTTTAATCTTCTCTGGCATTATTGCCATGCTCACTTTCTTGACTGTGATCATCTCCTACATCTTCATCGTGGCTGCTATCCTGCAGATCTCTTCAGCCGCGGGCAGACGCAAAGCCTTCTCCACCTGTGCTTCACATCTGATGGCTGTGACTTTATTCTATGGTTCAATAAGCTTTAGTTACATTCAACCAAGCTCTCAGTATTCCTTAGAACAAGAAAAGGTGGTATCTGTGCTTTATACTCTGGTGATTCCTATGTTAAACCCACTAATTTACAGCCTAAGGAACAAGGAAGTGAAGGATGCTGTGAAAAAGGCCACAGAAATGAAATTTTTTCCTTGTTAATTTCATACCATATGTTTCCCAAAATAGTATATGAACCAGTGCTTTGGATAATGACATATATATGAATTAATTAAAGCTTGAGCCCAAAGGAATCTTATTTTATTTAATTGAAACCCTCTGTTTTATAACAGAAGATAAAAGCCTAGAAGGATAATATATATTAGAGGACATATGGCTGGTTATTGTGGAAACTAATCTAAAAACCATACTAAGATTTAGGCTTGTTGTGTCTGGAAAGTTGAAGGAATTTTCATTCCTGTATATGGGTAGAAATGAAAATATAGATCTATAGGCACACCAGCTCACACACACAGATACAAAATTAATAAAAAATAAAATGTCATTTAGCTCAGTCTCTTCATTGAGCACAGAAGTAAGTAGAATACCTTCAAAGCAAAAATATTGGCACTTAAATCATCCACAGAATTGGCAGACCCTTGTCCTGAAATTAGCCTTGATTATTTATAGGCAGACATTCTTCAGAGTAAATGTGGAAACACAAAGATAGAAAGGGTACTAGGTTCTAGATTGCCTTTTCGCTCATGGTAATTTGTCTAAACCATATCCTCATTCCTGGCCTTGGTTTCCACGATTACATATGAACTTGAACTGGATAGAAGGCCATAGATCCTACTATCGCTCCTCGTGGAAGGGTCACTAATACTCAAAGAAATCTTACTTTGGAGATTTTTACTTCATGTTTAGAAAAGATACTTCTAAGTTAATTAGGGAATCAGCAATCAAACTCTTTCCCTCTTTGCTTTAAGGATCTTTCAGAACTGTCTTTGGGCATTAAGTAAAAAATTCCCTGAAGGTATTTTACATAGAAAAATAAAAAGTTATACTGTGTATGCCAGGTAAGGACAACATATGAAGCCAATTGCTTTCCCTTTAATTCAAATTCCATGCACAGACACATAATGATAAACTCAGGCCCACAACTGCTGCATTGCTCCTAATGATCTTTTTCCTAAATTGCTATGACTGTCCTTTCTGGAAAACAAAAAGGTATTCTAGAGAATATGATCACCTACAAGGGAAATTATATTTAACTTTTGGAGTTTATTTTAAATACTGAAGTAACTGGAGGCAATGAGACTCAGAAGCACAATAAGACAGCTGAATGCTCTATAAATGTTAATCCATGTATTTGCATGGTAGACTAGATAAAGCTATAATTTTTTCCTCCAGTGACTGCCAAAATTGTGTAAGTGAACCGTTCCAGTATCTGTGAAGGTAGTGAAATGAAACGTGAAAAATAGTGAAGGGTGCAAATTGAAAAATTGAAATGTTTACTGTATTGGACATTCATGAAATTCATCTTCAAGGTTACTTTTCAAGATAAAATAATATGACAGCACCAAGAACGTCCTGGAACATTTATATAGCCCTTCCCAGTTTTCCAAGATCATTTCATATTTGACATTGGGTCCCATAAGATAACATATATGTGACATTTATATATGAGGCATTCATGCAAATGTGTGTTTATATGAAAGTTTTAATTTTCAGAATGAAATAAAAAATAATAGTAATGATAAGGAAACCTAATTTTATATAGTTCTTTATAATTTTTCAGAGCATTTGTCTTATATCCCAGAGTATGAAATACAAGTTATGATATACAAACAAGATAACTGAAACAGAAAAATTAATTGAACTATTCATAAATTTTTAATGAATTCTGTCATAATACGCACCTTATAAAAGAAAGGGCTGGCCTCCAGGATGCAGTTAAAATAACACAGTTTATGTGTATGAGGAGTTATATTACAGAAAAAATTATGATTTTTGTTTTTGTCTAAAGCTGACCTTTACCTCATCCTAAAAAATAGTTACTATATAACCCTTTAAACAGAACCAGATGCTTAAATATTAAAAAGAAAATCCCTGTCCTAGAGTTCTGTGGCAAATGAAGGACATTGTGGCAGATTTGTAGACTACAGACTGGAAAATGAGTAAAATACCCTATATGAGTAACATATCATACATATGTTATAAATTTATAATGAGTTATACATACAGAGAGAGATTCAGTAAATGAAACTGAGTTAAACATATTCCAAGTGTCCTTAAATGTAGCAATAACTAGTCAGTAGGAGGCAAATGAAGACATCATGAGTAAAATGTCTGATACTAGTCTATCAATTCTTATACCAAAGTATCAGGGAAAAAATTGAGAATGGGCACTTTACCCTCCAATCCTTTCACCTCATATATAAAATCAGTTATGGTTCAACATCAACACTCAGAGAAACCAGGGCTCAGCAGATATTTACCTTATAGAACTTTCCTCTTAGCCCACAAAGAATCTCTACCAAATATGCCTTAATTTTTTTATTTCATGTGTATGGCTTTGAACTTTGTCATTTGGAAAATGGTCCAGCTCATCAAGGAAATAAATTGCTGGCGTCACTCAAATTTGGTCATGCTACATTTGCATTATGTTTGTGATTGTTACTTATTAAAAGACCCAAGAGCCAAAGCAAGGAATTTGAAATTTCGCCGTGTGCTGTGAAAAACTATGTGATCATGTTGATGCCCACTTTGAGGGCAATTTTCAGTTGTCCTGTGTTAAATGTGGTCTGTGAACAAATTCCAGCTCCCAGAATCATGGACATCTAAGTAACAGATAGGCATCCCATGTAAACTCAAATCTAAAAAAGCTCTAATAATTGTCTACACTCCCCCACAAAAGCAGCACAATTCAGCGTTACCAATTCAATTCTTTTTCAGTTTAACCAAGGCACATCTCTCTCCATAGATCTTGCATCAATTACTTGTAGATAAGCCTTATGAAGTCTTGGAATTCATAGACTCTCATGTTGCATTCTCAGGTTCCTCAGATGTTCAGTTTTTACTGCAAACTTCCATCACCTGGTGCTTGTGCAGTGTTTACTGGTTGATTGCATCTGAATCTTGGGGACTTGTTTATTCTTCTTTTCTCCTCTCCCCCTTTTTAACATTTAGCCTATCATTTCACCCTGTATTTACTGCCTTGTATATTTTCCATTCTATTCTCCAAGTATCAGCCTACCTAGTATTTCTACACATTCCTTTTATGTCCAGTCAGTATAGTGACAAAAATGTTGAAGTTGAAATTCATCTTAGTGTCTTAACTTGGCTAAATTACTTCTAATATTAAAAAGGTAATCTAGTGTATGAAAACACACACACACAGCCCTAAATTCTACTTAGTAATTGCTTCCACTTCCTCTGGGGTATCGTACTGAAAGAGGTGCATATTGTCCATAATGACTGCCAATAATAATGTATTTATATGTGAAATAAAATGAAATTTTGTGGTTCCTCCTGGTGGCCCCACAGGCAAAGCACTATGCAAGCTGCAGAGGCCCCCAAGTCAGCCATATCATCTGCTGTGCTGTGAAGACGCCCTTCAGCCATTTTTGCTTGTGTCACCAAATTCACAGCCCCCCACTCTGCACCCATGAGCAGAGAAAAACCAGCCAGGAATGCTCAAAAGAACATAAACCAGTCTGGTTCTTGTCTCTAGTACAATCCTTTAGGAGAATAATTAGCAATCCTAATCGTTGCTTCCTCTCACACACATGGCATCAGCCTATCCATTGTCTGTTCTTTCAGGACATTGCCCGATATACTGAACCACATAACCTCTTCCCTACACCCACCGCCTGTTGTAAGACAAGTATTTAAGATGTTCCCAAACCAAGGGTTTTGGGAGCAGTTTATGTGAATATGCTGAAGGACTACTATTGGGCCATGGTTCTCACTAAGACTGAACAAACTTTTTCTGAAACGTAACTGTCATGTTGATTTCAGTCAACATAGAATCGCATAGTATTGCATCAACAAATTGAACTTAACACTCTTTAAAACTTAAAAATAATCTGTATTATGTATAATATGTATACATAATGACATTATGTATATCATAATTATCACCAGTGGAGTTCATTTTTAATAATTCAGCTTTTCCTTCTAGAGCCTCATATAGGTGAGACAAGAACATGTGTGACAATTTTCTCTATAACAAAGAAATGGCCAAATAAGTGAACTGCTACAATTTGGAATGACAGTGGGGGAAACTTACTTTCCCTAGGCCTCTCATTATCTGTTTTAATGAAACTGAGTATTCACAGTATGTCTAGGGATTCTGTCCCCCAAAGGCCCTGAGACAGATATAAACACAAGCCGGAAACTAAAAGAAAGAACCAAGCTTCCCTTCAGGTAAGTATTATATTTATATTCTGACAAAGGAATTATAACACTTTCTCCAGTTATCACAAAGAGCAGCTCTCAATACTGTTGTGAATGGAATGTGAAGAAACAAAGTATCTGCTTCAGATCTATTCCAATGGTTGAGATAAGTGAAACAGAATTACACTTTTGCCAGGTCAACAGGCTGTCTTGAAATAATTAGTGGATCTATTTTTATTTTCTTGGGAAGCTGTATTTGAAGCTTCATGTAATTATGTAAATTCCAAGAGGAAATTTATTGAAAGAAATTCTTTAAAATCTAAGATTAATTATTACAAACTGTTGAATTTTGTAAAATCTGAGGAAAAGCATGGTGATTCATTTGGTCCTGTTACCAAAGCTAATTTTAGTTTATCTTGACAAAGCTAAGATTAATTTTATTAATTTTAATTAATTTTATCTCAACAATGCTTAGATTAGATTATTGTACATAAATGACTTGATAGCAAAAGAACAATGGCATGAAAGGTGGTCCAGATGAACATTACTGTTTGGTAAATGAAAAGTCAGTCAAGACAAAGCTAACTAAACTAAACCAAAAAAGCAAGGATCCCCAAAATTACTTTATGTTCAATATGTTAACACACACAGGGGTCTATAGTCCTTATTTGTTTTACTTGGAGTATATAGCAAATATTTAGAGGATATCTATGGTGTGTTGAACAGTTTTGTCATATTTTCTTTTTCAATTCTCACAATTACCTCTTGAAAAATGGTTTACAGATGAAACTAATAATTAGGCTAGGAAGTAAGAGTAAGACATGAAATCACAACTTAATGTGGGAAAAGGTAACTAGTCATTCTTTTAAGCCTCTGGTGTTCTGCTAAAATGGATATAACCAAAGCTACCTTGTGGCATGGTTGGCAGTGTTCAAACTGTTACTGTATATCACACTGATTGCAGTAGAGGGTGGAGATCCACACCCATGTCTTCTTCCTTCTATATTCAGTAAAGAATAAATTTCATTATTCCAGAGCAAAGACGGTGGGACTCCATATTCATCAGTGTTCAGTGAAAGTAGATTCTGTTGTCAAATTCGTGTGAAACATGCCTTATATTTATTTTCTGTATTGGAAATTTCCAAAGCGCAGCAGTGTAGTACATATTCTTGTAAGTCCTGCAGTAAAGAAAACTTTCCTTAAATATTATTTAACAGGTTCCCAAATATATTAGATATCAGAATCTTTTCATGTATTCTGAGTTATGTGATAAAGTTGAAATAAAATTAATTGAATGATCTGACTTTTCCTGAATAAAAAGCCAAATCCAATGTGATCTAATGTGCCAAAAACATACACGCTGTCCTAGCAATTAGATTTGAGGCTTTTGGACTGGGAAACCCCCTTGCTCCCAGAAGATTTGAGCTTTTGAGAAAGCTTGGTTCTTTCTTGTAGTTTCTGGCTTGTGTTTTTATCTGTCTCAGGACTTTTGGAGGACAGAATCCCTAGAGATACTGTGAATACTCGGTTTTATTAAAACAAACAATTTTTCAATATTGAGAAAGTTTTCTGATTGAAACTTAATGAAAAAAAATCTGGTATGGGCTAATTCAAATCATTAAATAATAAATACTATAAAAAATCAGAAGATGAAATGATAAATATCTATTGGAGTAGCAGAGAATACAAGTGTTTTAATAATGACATGTTATAATAAAAAATAAAGTTTGAATTTCTTTTCATTCTCTATTCTAGACATCCCTATTTCTCATTTTCCATTTTTTTTGGTAATTGTTAAGTTTTACTAGATATTACATATATACCTATATTATATATTCTAATTTGTTTATTGCTTTTATTGTTTCACATGTGTCATGTGTATAGTTTGTCAAAATTTAAAACATGTATAGAGAGTAATTTTTCTAGATGTCTCGAATATATAGCATTAAATATTGAGGTTTGTGGGGTAAATGGAAGTGTTCACCCAGAATTTCCATAATCTCCCGCCTGGCCTTAGTCCATTTACATACCGATGCATGTTGACCACAGCAGAGCCTCTGGTCCATCTGCGGCAAAGGGTGGGGAGAAAACGGCCATTCTCTCCTCCCTTCTTTCCTGGTACCTAACTTGTCTGATACCTGCCAGTCACCAGGGACACGCCCAGGGAGTACCTGCTGGAAGGGGCAGGCGGGGGGAGGAGAGTGCGGGTACCACAGCTGGAGAGGACTGGAGACGACAGAGTGAGGGCTGGCCAGCGAATCTGAGCGAGCTGTGAGCAATAGAAACCCTTTCTCCCAACCTGCCCTTCCCCTTGTCCTGCTTCGGTTTCCTCGGATTCATGGGAAACTTGGCCTGGGCTGGGAAACCCCCTTGCTCCCAGCAGCTACATGATTTTTGTTGTTATTGTTCTTTGTTAAGGGATCTTCTTTAGAGTATAAGATACTTGCTTTGTGCCTGAAATCTGGAATCACGTGTTTTCAAGGATCCATTTCCTGAAGTATTTTTGTTAAACAAATATTCCTATTGAGGCTTTCCAAGGAGATTTTATTTTTCCAAAGGTTCTCATGTGTACATAACGCCAATTCATATCCCCTGGTGAAATAGTAATCCAACTAAAGTTTCATATCAAGCTAATTATTTATGCTTGCAGGAACTGAATTTACTGTGAAATACTATTACCAACTAAAATGTGGTTTTCTCAAGATGCCAGTCATTTGAACTCATATGTGCAAGCTGTGCTCTGGTGATTTTCTTTTTGCTCCTGTTCCCTGCAGATCCCTCGTAGGGGAGGTAAATAAATGGCTGACAGAAATGTCAGCGTGATAACTGAATTCATCCTCCTGGGGATGACTGATGACCTTGAGCTGAGCACTGTCATCTTCGCGCTGCTGCTCCTCATCTATCTCATCACTGTGTTGGGCAGTGTTTGGATTATCACAGTCATTTTGGCTAGTGCCCTGCTCCACTCCCCCAAGTATTTTTTCCTTTGCCAGTTGGCCTTCTTGGATTGCTGCTATTCCTCGGTCTTTATTCCTAAAATGTTGGTGAACTACATAGCCGGACAGAAAGTCATCTCCTACTATGGCTGCTTCCTTCAGTATTCCTTTGTCAACATGTTCCTGACCACTGAATGCTTCCTCCTGGCTGCAATGGCGTATGATCGGTATGTGGCCATTTGCCGACCACTTCACTATAAAGGTCGCATGAACCCCACATTCTGCCTCGTCCTGGTCACTGCTTCCTACCTCCTAGGTTGCGCCAACTCCCTCACTCACCTGAGCGGCTTGCTCGGTCTGTCTTTCTGTGGGCCCAACATCATTAATCATTTTTTCTGTGATATCCCATTACTTTTTCAACTTTCTTGTTCTGATACCCAGTCCAACCAGATTTTATTTATTGTCCTCTCTGGAATGACATCAGTGACCACCTTCCTGATAGTGGTGTTTTCCTATCTTGGAATCCTTCTCACTGTCCTGAAGATACAGTCTAGGAGGAGCAGATTTAAAGCCACCTCCACCTGTGCTTCCCACCTGACCATAGTGACTCTCTTCTACGGGACAGTGATTTTTACTTACCTGGGAACCAGCTCTAGCTGCCCATATAATACAGCCAAAATCTTGTCAGTCTTTTACACCCTTTTGCTGCCAGTACTAAATCTTGTGACCTATGGTGTGAGAAACACAGAGGCCAAAGAAGCAATGAGAAAAATTATTGTGAGAAGAATATTTGCTCAGTGATCATGGATTTTCAAGCAGGAACATTTAAGGAATATTTATTGATGCTACAGGCAGGTACATTGTTAAATACCTTGGGACTTGTGGGAGAAGAAAAGAATGGTATTTTCTAGGCAGCATATGTGTAAAGACATATTCATCATTGGCTTTTGGCAACACACACACATATTACATGCATTATGTGTATCTGTGTCTGCTTATATGTAGATATACATATGCAATGTATTCTGCGAGGGAAGACGACTTTTCTTTACCCTCATAGGTTTATGTTTGAGTATCTGGAAATTAAACTGACAGAAGACAGATGAAAGGGAGAAAAGACAGAGATATTTCATATGTGCACAAATAAACTGGCTTGCTCAGTAATTAGAGATGGGGTGTATATGTCTCTCTGAAGGGGTCAAGGAAAAGGAGAAAAGGCTTCTATGGGGAAAACAAATGGGATCTTTACAGAACAAATGGGGAATAAAGTTTTGTGATCTTTCAGTATGCAGGGCAGGTGGTCTCTGTCTCCTTCCTGCAATATCCCTGGGAGAGAACATTTATGGCAGCTTCACTCTCAGAAGTTTCTTCTTTTCATGGGGTAAAAGAAAGTCAGGAAAACCCTTTTTCTGCCTCTGTTAATTCCAAAATGTGTTAAGTTTAAAGTAATTTTATGTCACTGTGTAATCTGGATCCTTCCAATTCTCAAATTATTATTTTGAATCTCTACTAACTTCCTATCAATAAACACTGGTTTTAAGTTTTTGAAGAGAATGTTTATTATCTATTGAATAGAATAGATATATAACAATAAATCTTATCTGTTAAAATCTATTTCTACAGACTTTTTTCTTATCTCTTGATGGTTAAAGTTATATAAATATGTAACAAATGTGTTATTGCAAATTTTATTTCATTATTTCTATGAAGCCTGCATAATCCCATTGTCAAATACTTTGATTGAATTCATCATAAAAGCGTCGCATTTTATAACTAATCACTGTTATAACCAAATTTTCAATAAAAAAATAAACCTCTTACCTAATAAGGGATTCCTTAGGACATGGCATGTAGCGTTCTGAATATTTTGTAATCACAGACTAAAATTTAATTCTATATTAGGCCTACGAGAGTATTCATCTCCTGTGTTATATACTTGCAATTTTAAAATTTTACAAACTAATTTATAGTATATTGATAAAGTCTGTGTATAAAACTTCTTCATTTTTCTAATGGTTTTCATCTCAATAGATTTCTAATAACAGAATTCTTTGGTGAAACAAACATGAATATTTTCATTTTAATATTTTGCTAAATTATTTTCCAAAAGACTTGTATGATATATAATTTCATCGATGCAATTATGTTTATTTAAAAGTTTAACTATTATAACCTATGGACAGAAATATAATGAATGCACTGCATAATAACATCTCATGAATAAGAGAAAAAGTCTAAACAAATAATGTGAAAATTAATGAAGCTACATTGAGTAATCATGCTCTTCAGCCCTTAAATAGCAATGGATTTTATAAGACACAATTTGAGGGCATAAAGTTACTCTGTTCTTTTTACTCAAAAACTGACTTGAGAACATGGTCATTGGTCCAAAATTAAGAAAGCAGAATCACATTAAATCAAATATAAGGAATGAAATGAAGAAATAGCCTTTCAAAAATATTACAAAATTATAGACAGAGGTATTGTTCAGGAATACCATTGAAACCACAAGGAATCCAGATTTCTTTAAAGATTCCTTACTCAAGCTATAAATTGGTAGGGTGAATTTTCCCAGTAGACTAAAATATAGAAGGGCAACAAAAATTAACTTCTCAGATATACTAAGACTTTGTTTATATACAAAGATAGTTTCTCCAGCCATCACTAAGAGAACCAACCAAGCAAAAATTCCCTTTTTTAAATCTACTTTTTCACTTTGAGATGATCTTGTTTCTGACTAGATATTTATGCTTTTTAATAATTAAACCAGTAATTTAATGTAATTATATGACATAGGAATGAATGTGGTCTCCAATTTTAGATCTTCATTTGAAAAATTATTAATTACAAAGACTTGGAAATTTAAAAGAGTTGAAAATGTGTATGCCATATTCTTTTGTTTTTTTAGTTTTTTAAAAAAATTAAGGTACCATTGATATAGACTCTTATAAAGGTTTCGCAAGAAAAACAATGTGGTTATTATATTCACCCTTATTATTGAGTCCCCCCAAACCCTATTGCAATCACTGTCCATCAGTGTAATAAGATGCCACAGAGTCCCTATTTATCTTCTCTGAGCTACACTGTCTTCGCCGTGACCCCACACACACCATGTGCACCAATCATGATACCCCACAGTCTTCTTTGCCCTTCCTCACCCCTCCCTTTTGGTAACCACTAGTCCCTTCTTAGAGCCCGTGAGTTTGCTGCTATTTTATTCCTTCATTTTTGCTTCATTGTTATACTCCATAAATGAGGGAAATCATTTGGTGTTTTTCCTTCTCTGCTGGACTTACTTCACTAAGCATAATATCCTCCAGCTCCATCCATGTTGTTGCAAATGGTAGGATTTGTTTCTTTCTTATGGCTAAATAGTATTCCCTTGTGTCTATGTACCACATCTTCTTTACCCATTCATCTACTGATGGACATTTAGGTTGCTTCCATTTCTTGGCTATTGTAAATAGTGCTGGGATAAACATAGGGGTGCATATAGGGTCTTTTTCAAACTGGGCTGCTGCATTCTTAGGGTAAATGACATATTCTTAAGGGAAGAATGCAAGTGCACACATAAAAAGAATGCAAGTAAACACCATCCTCCCATAAAAGACATCAGAGATTCTTGAGGAACATTTTTCTAGAGATGAGTCCCAGAAAATATAAGATGAACCCATGGCATATTGTGCTGCCAGAATATAAGTGAGGGAAAAAATAAAAGCACAAGAGCAGGTCCAAAGGGCAAAATACACAGAAGGTACTTGATGATAGCTTCATTAGCTAATCTAGAACAATTTAAGCAACAAAATAAAAGATGGAACTCTTGGACAATAACCTGTAGAGCAAAATAATTATCAAAGAGAGCATTTTGGAATAAATAAATGAATACATGTGTGCATACATAGGGAAGAAAGAACAACTTGTTCTTACAGAATAATTTCAACAAAAACATCTTGAAAGAATATGGGGAATGGAAATTTCCCACCAAATACCAGAGTATTAATTGGAAGGGGCTACATATTGATAGATGGCAAAAAGTATGAATGGAATATTTACATTGTCTAAATTATCTCCCCTAAATATATATAAATTACAAAGAAAAGAATCATAATTTTACAGTGAAAAAGTCCAGCAGACACTAGTATAAGTGATTCAGTTTAACGTCACTAGTGCAATTGCTAATGACATCATATAGCCACTGGCAAGATGAAAAGGGCATTCGTATCAGCTCTCTGACACTCTTCCCCATAATGAACAAACTCAATTTAAGCATGAGAACACATCAGGCAAACTTAAACTGAGGAATGTTCTACAAACTACTTGACCAGTAATCTTGAAAAGTATCATGGTCATGAAAGAAAAGGAAAGAAAATGGGATTGTCATAGATTGCAGGAGACTAAGAAGATATAACATGAATTGTGGCATGATATTCTGGTTGGATCCTGGAGAAGAGAAAAGGGCTTTATGGAAAAACTGGTGAAACTGAATATAATCTGTAGTTTAGTAAATATTATTGTATCAGGGTCAGTTTCTTGGTGTTAATAATTTTATTATGAGCGTATAAGATATTAACACTCATGAAGCTGGGTGAAGTAGCTATAGAAACTCTCTCAGTCTGCAAATACCTAAAGAAAAAAGTTAAATATAACTGATAAGTGATTAGATCTCTAAACAGTTTTATAAGGAAATATGAAGTCATTGAGTAAGTATTATTTAAATGTCCATTGATCCTGTAGTAGTCAAACATAGTCCCTACCAATTAACAGCCACTGTATATATTAGCTCTCCAAATATCAGAATATTAAAGGACTGACAAACATTTTGAATCCCAAGAGAGGCAATAAACACTAAATTTTGAGAAAGTAGAGAAAATATGATTCTTGTAGTCTCACACAAATATAGTATCTAATATCTAATAACTGCTTAATAGCTCTGTATTGAAGGGTAAGTAAGAAAATGGGTGGAAATTTGAGATTTCAGGTATACAACCCAATTCTTTCTAAGTTTTATTTTCTCCAGACACATAGCGGGGGGGGGGATGTAGTACTGTTTCTTTTGTCCTAAAATGTGATTATGTTGATTATCAGTATGTGATGTGGAACATCTAGAAAAGTTTTATTCCCCTTTTCAAGATCTCTAATGTGATAACTAGAATTAGAAATGCATTTCATTTTCTTCCTCAGTGAAGAATCTATCTTGTTTCAACCTTGTAATACTAAATCTTTTTTAAAGATAAGTAAAATAAGAGGATGTAATAATCACAGTAGAAAAATGATTTTATTGGATATGTCTGAGATCCTTCTAAGCTAATGTTTGTCAAAGTGTTTGTCAATAGTAATGATCCTGAAGCATTTTGAAAAATTCTCTTTTGTGGGTCAATCTCAGACCCACTAACCCAGAATCTTTATAGGGGTATAGCCTAGGAAGCTGCTTTTAGAAAATAAACAAAAAACAAGTGTGATAACAATGTGAACTGAATTTTGGAAGTATGGAATGATTAGAGGCTCATAATTACAGCTTGAGTTGATTGTCATTTAAGGTTTCTTGATCATTTTCTGACATGCATACTTATACTCAGCCAAAGATTTTGTGTAGGTAGCACTGAGCACAGCCAGTAAAAATCACTGAATGTCTGCCTTGAAAATAAATGTGCAACTGATTTGTTGGCATGAATGGTAACGTGTGTATATATATATTAAAAATAAGTCTGATCTTAAAAACTATACCAATGACATTTTTCAGTATGGCCATGGCCATTGAAACTGAAATACACATAAGTAAGGGATACATATTTTTGAATGCATCCATTGGAGTTGTATCCCAGTCAAATTAAGAACAGGCCTTGGGGCACGATTAAAATACAAATCTCAAGAGGTAAGGGATGCTAATTGATCAGTTCCTTTCTAAGTCTGAGGAAGAGATGATGTAACAGGACTGCTTAACACACTAGATGTAGGAAGACAATCGTCATCATGGGACTGCTTTAGAAAGACACAGGAAGCAAAACTAACCATGTATATGAATCAAGATTTCAGCTAAAAAATTAGATTTTAATTCTCAAGGCATATAAAAATAATCTTAATTAATTATACTAACAACTCATGAGATTCATAACTGTGAGGTAAATACAATGATATGCCAAAAATTAATGACATTGGTGAAAAATTACACAATGTTTTGTCTTTGTGTGGTGTAATCATAAACCTGAAAATAAATGGAAAATAAGCTGAGAGAGAAGGAGATTTCCTCTGGATGAGTAAACCCCAGGTAAGTCTAATTTTTCATCTGATTCTTCTTGTAATTCTGTGTGTGTGTGTGTGTGTGTGTGTGTGTCACCCCGAGAAACTTTCTCTTTTTTACATGACTGCATCTTCCAGTAACTTTTAAGAAAAGTGCCCTTAATGACAGGCAAAATAAAATGCCTTCCTTGACTCAGTGCTTCTTAAATGAATGAATGATTGAGTATATAAATAGGAACACTTGTTTGAACATGGGGGGCCCAAATGATTAAGTCTAAATACTCAACATAAGACCAACTACTGCTCGCCAGTGACTTGGCTATTGGCCGATGTCATAGATAACCAAGTACTTGTTGGAAATAAAGATGGTTGCTCACTACATACACAAAACAATTTGACTATATTATAGATTAAGTTCCTCATGTGGACTTAGTTCACCAACAGAGAGAAAGAGTATGCTGTAGAGAAATACCTGCATTAGCAGGTAAAGAAGGCAGGCTATTTCTCATTTTCTTTTACTCTTTCTTTTTCCCTTCTCCCTTCCATTCTTTTCTTTCGTCAGTCCTTTTTTTTCCACCCTCCTCCCTTTCTTCCTTGTTTCTATTTATTTATTTTACAAAATTTAGAAAACTTTACTGAGTCTAAGTAATTATCACAAATGTCCATCTAAGATCTTATTAAGCTCTTAAAGCAACCCTCCCTGTAAAAGAGTTGTTAGGTATTAAGAAACTAAGACTGCCACACACAAAGGTATCATTACATTCACAAACTATCTCTTCTATGAGTTTTATATCTTCCAGGAGTATCATATAATTTACTCCAAAGATAAATTGGCCAAGTATAAATCCATAAACAGTGGTAGGGATGGCATATCTCAGGAGGAACCTCTTTATTCCAGACAGGTATTTTTTATAGTGTTACCCATTGTGAACTTGCAATTTTTTTTATTAGTGTTTGTCAGTTTTATGCAAACAATGAAAATCATGTAAGTTCTTAATTAACTTGAAGTCCTTAACTATATGCTTTCCATCTGGAGTCTAAGGCATTATTGGGGTCTGAGTCAACTCTGATTATTAGGTCTTCAGGCATAAATCTTTCTCTAACTTTTGTTATTAAGCAGGTAAGCCAAAGGCCTGAGTCAGTAGGAATGGCTGGGAACAATTTCACTGAGGTGACTCTCTTCATCCTCTCTGGATTTGCAGATCACCCTGAACTGCAAGTCAGCCTTTTCATGGTGTTTTTCTTGGTTTACCTATTTACTGTCTTGGGGAACCTTGGACTAATCATGTTAATCAGAATTGATGCTCATCTTCATACACCTATGTACTTTTTTCTTAGCAATTTAGCATTGATTGACATAGTCTATTCCTCCACTGTAACACCCAAAGTGCTGGTGAATTTCCAATCCGAACAGAAAACCATCTCGTTTGTGGGCTGCTTTGTGCAAATGTACTTTTTTGTCGGTTTGGTGTGCAGTGAGTGTTTCCTTCTGGGATCAATGGCCTATGACCGCTATGCAGCCATCTGCAATCCCTTGTTGTATTCAGTGGTCATGTCCCAGAAAGTGTGTAACTGGCTGGCAGTGATGCCATATACCATAGGCTTCACAAACTCTCTGATATCCGTCTGTGTCATAAGCCGATTGGCTTTCTGTGACTCCAGCATCAGTCACTTCTTCTGTGACACCACCGCCTTGTTGGCTCTGTCCTGCTCAGATGCCTTCAGCACAGAACTGGTGATCTTCATCTTGGCTGGGTTCACGCTTCTCAGTTCTCTTCTCCTCATCGCGGTCACTTATGCTGCCATCATCTCAGCCATCCTGGGCATCCAGTCTGCGGCAGGCAGACAGAAGGCCTTTTCCACCTGCGCGTCCCACCTCATGGGAGTAACTGTCTTCTATGGGTCTCTGATCTTCACATATTTGCAGCCTGACAACACATCATCCCTGATGCAGGCCCAGGTGGCATCTGTGTTCTATACCATTGTCATTCCCATGCTGAATCCACTGATCTATAGTCTGAGGAACAAGGATGTGAAAAATGCTCTCCTGAGAGTCACACAGAGAAAACTATTTCCATGACAAGTGTGTGCATGTGACAATGAAATCCAGCCTGGATGGGTCCAGGCATTTAATTGCTCTAACAATTCAGAATATAGTAGAGTGGCCTCAAAAGGCATACCATAAATTAGAGTCTCGGAGAAATTCGAGAGGTGCATCATTATTTTATTTGCTGTGTGGAATATGGAAGGACTGTATTGGGACATCATGTCAGAACATAAATTATTCAGACATAGATGAACAAGGGAAGAAGCATCTGAGCAGTGACTGAACCCATCCCTGAACATCCATGTGCGGCGCGCCATCGCCATGGAGCCTGGTGAACAATGAGTAGATGTGCTTTTCATGTGGTTTCACATTGTTTGTCAGCCATCAGCAGACTGAGAGGAGAAAATGAGGAGATAGGAGATGATGACTCGTAATGTTAGAGCAACTAGAGTGATAGTTGAGAGTCTGCGAGCAAAGAAAAGGGTATAGAATGAAGAAAAGTGAATGTAAGCCTGGCTTTGGACGGCGGGCAGTGGGCAGGGAGACTGAGGTCATTTCAGTGAGCAGTAATCAAGGAGAGGGGTATCAATTTCCAATGTATGTTGAAAGGAATTGATGATCAACCTGATGAAGTGCTGTTAAAAGAAACGTGCATATTTATAATATTCTTCTCTCTCCTACAAGACTGTGCACTCCTTGGCAGAAGAGTTTCCTTATTCATATTTGTGCTCTCCACACCACCCAGCAAATGTATCACTGATGAAATTGTGAATAAATATTTTCTTGCTTTCATTTTGCTTGGGGAAGCATAGTGAAAAATTCTTTAAAGTTGAGGATTCTACCTTATTCATATTTGTATCATGCTTTGGTATTTTGACAGTTTGTTTACTGGCATTCAAAAAAATATTCATTTAGTTGAAAATCCTATTTGTAGAAAATTTTCAAAAACACTTCTTACTGATATATTTAAGATGGCACAGTAATTAACAGATACATTATTTTTCATATAAGTTTTTCCTTAGTGGTAAGGGTCTGGAAACAAGTATGAATAAAATTACGCTTTGTATATATGACTTAAACTAATCAGAGTAAACTGGGTAGGAATTCTCATGTATCCTACATCACAAACAAACCTCCCATAAAAAGAATCAATCTTCAGATCTGGGTGTGGCTGAAGGTAGCTCATGTGAAGGGGTCTGTGTATGTATATGTATATATTTGATTTGGGGATTTTCAGTTTTCTTCCATGATATATATTAGCTGGCTCTGTCCCCTTGAAAACTTCATTGAACAATGTGACATTTCACATTATGATCTATTATGTGACAACTTATGAAACTACTCAAAGATATAATGATTTAGCATTCATAAATTATATATCTAGTTGTTCTTTTCATGCTATTAATGTTTCCTTGTTAGTCTCTTTTTAGGAGCAAACAACAGGTCATCCTTTTCTGTCTCATCACAAGAAGGAGTAACACATTGTATTTGTCCAAAGTTATGATTAAATGTCCATATGTATTTTCTGATATGCTCTTCATCCGTGTCTCTGGTATCGCTCCCCTCCTTCTCTCTTCTAGCTGCTCTTTCTGTACCTTCCCTCTAGACTCTGTAATACACATCTCTCCATAGTGGGTCGTGCATATCTGTGCCTTGGCTTTAGGGTGTCTTCCTAACGATTTTCCCAGAATTCTTGCTCTTGACCCATCCAGGTGATATTTGGGACTATGTTCCAGAGGTGATCATAGTGTGTGAAATTTGCCAGACATCTTATTTTGTTTTTATTATGCTCAAGAAAGGCATTCAATTCTAAATATGTTTGATGTATCAGACTTCAAAATAAAGATGGTGAGTGGTTTTATTTTTTCAGTCTCTTAAAACTGGGGTGTCCTTATAATGTTCCTGTTAATCATTTGCATTCCTTGAGTTTGTGTCTGTTTCACTACCTTTATGATACCTTCTCGATCAAAATAAAAAATATGAATGTATTTCCTAACTAGGTCTATTTTAAGAAGTATTGCAGGAATTCCTAAAGATGTAAATTAGTGAAAATAAAATAAATTGAATGAAATTGACTTTCTGATACCAGATAGAGTCAAATGTACACTTACGCTCATTCTCAAAAGTTGGAGGTCCATTGAGAAATTCATTCCAGAGAGTAGTGTAAAATATAGTAGGTGTTTGCATTGGACATACACCTTTCAAAATATGGGGTTGGAGGTACAAATAGATAAACTATTTAAAAATAGCTTAAAAACAACAAATAAAAAAATACATTTTCCAGAAAAGGAAGGTATAAAAATATTGGTATTATAAAATACAAATGTATTAGAGAAATAGAGCAATACAATATTTTTAAGTATAATAAATTCCTCTAAAAAGACAAGGATTATCAGAGTAAGATGAAATACAAATTGTAGTGAATGACATTTTTTGCAGTTTTTACCAAAACAAAGTGATGCAAAACATTAGGGTAAAGGAACTCATTTTATAGAGCCTTTTCTTTACTATCTATTTGCCTGAATTCCCTTCCTCTAAATACAGCTCTTTCTTCACCTCTTTCAGTGTGACCCTATCACTGAAGGTCTCTGAAAAAGGTTTTTTAAGAGACGAAGTCCAACTGTCCCCATGCAGCCCCTCCACACTGGCTGTGTTCTTCTCCACAGTCTTTATCTCCTGTGACTTACCGAATCTTCTTGTTTCTTCTGTTACCCCTCCCCCAGCATACTCATACCCCATAGAATGAATCTCTTAATGCATAGTCCTTTCTCTTCCTTTGCACTGGTCTTTGCACAGGGCCTTTGCACTGGTATCCCACCACCCTGTCATCCAAAACACTTTCCTACTGTGTTCTTGCATGACCAACCCTTCACTTCAAATCTTTTCTCAAATGCCAATTTTTCAGTGACCCTACCTTGAGCATATTACTTCTGATGTTCCTCATACCTTTCCCCCACCACCCCCATGTTTTAAGCTGTTTCATATTTTACTTGTATAAACAATGATAGAAAAACAATTTTAGGGCATTATTTACTATCCTTTGGTTTCCAACATACAGGGCATTTAATATACATGACAGAGAAATTTCAAGGTAGGTGGCTTTAGAAGACTGTATTAAAACAATGGGCAATATATATTAACATTAATTGCAAAGCATATGATGTTTTCCTAACTTGACCATTCAAAATCAAATGTCTTCCAAATATTGCATTTCTAAAATACATACATTACTTCTAGTCCCTAATTCCATCAACGCTCTATTTCTGGTTCCACAAATCTTGGCATTACTCTTGGTAAGGTCTAAATGATGTGGTTATGCATTCTCTTCTAGTAGTGTCCCATTTTATTTGATCTTAGTTAAAGCCCTCTAGTCTTGGGAATGTATCTACTGTGAGTCAGAGTTGATGGGAAGAAACCTGATTCCAATATTATCTGTGTAGAAAATCGTCAATCTCAAATGTTGCTCACAAATTAAATTTTAAAACCATTTTAGGTAAAAAAAATTTCTGTAGTATAAAACTTGTTTTCCTTTGGACAAGTTCTGTTTAAACATCAGTGTGTTTATTTTGTTTTATTTGAGGTGAAAAGAAATCAACCTAGAACGTTTGTTCAGGTCCTGATCAAATGGAAATTGTGATATAAAAGAACCTTGGGAGCTACTGTGAACATAAGTGGAGCAGAGCAGCCTTGCCTCTCATGCTGGTCATTTCAGGGCCCTTATGTACCGGGGGTGGATGATCACAGAACATTTGGTCTTCTGTGGGGACCAATTTCCAAAGAAGACTGCTTGGCCTGTTTTACGTAGCATGTTTCTAAGAATATAAGTTCAAGGACTAATTGCAGCTCCCTTAGGTTTCCAGGAACTTGTTGCGTTTTCCCTTAGAGGCCACACGGTCGAGAGCCTGGGGGTTTGTCCTCCTTTGTGAGGCCCTAAATTTTGACTAGAATGGTGGAGAAGGTCTTCCTTGAGAAATACTTCCTTACTCTGTGACTGAAACCATCTGGGATGGAATGATCCATTTTTCACAATGAAACATTTTTATATTTAAAAGGGTGATATTACCATAGGAGTCAATATGTCCACTAGGAGAAAATTAGAATATAACAAAATGAAAACAAATCAAAACTTGTAACACCTTGATGAATTTCTCCCAATTATTTTCTTTTGTTCATATAATGTTTATTTGTCTACCTATAGATTTGAATAATAATTATTATACTGTACAGTCATATCTAATCTCATTTCATGATGAAAAGGCCTTTCTGTTCTTTTATATTTCATAAAATAAAGTAAAATAAGATAAAATACAGAACAAGCACACAAAAAGTCAGCCCGTTGCACATGCATGGCTCTGTGGGTGGATGAGGTGACGGCCAGAATAAACCGAGGAGCCTGCACCACGTTTTCCTTGTGATGCTTCAAAAGATACACTGATTATCTGATGAACTCTTCTGGGGGAAGCTAGTGATGGGGCTCTTGTCAATGCTTATACTGAAATTATGTTTTTTGTCAACTGATAATATAACAATAGTCATAATATTTCAAGAAATACCAGTCTATGTATTTAGACTCCTTAGTCTAAATGTTTAATCTATTTCTCCAGTAATGGCTTCTCTACTATTCTACTAAAAAATTTAGGGCATCATAAAGGAAGACAAACCACCAGGCTCTCCACCATGTGGCCTCTAAGGGAAAAGGCAACCAGTTCCTGGAAACCTAAGGGAGCTGCAATTAGTCGAACCTGTGTCCTTGGAAACACGTCAAGCAAAACAGGCCAAGCAGTATTCCTTGGAAAATTGGTCCTCAGAGATAACCAAACATTGCATGTACCCCCAGTATTTGAGGGGCCCTGGAATTAAAAGCCGGGGAAGTAAGAAAGGCTACTATGCTTTCCTTATGTTCACAGGAGCTCCGAGATTCTTTCAGATCAAATTTTCCATTTGAATGGGACCTGAACAAAAGTTCTAGGTTGATTTCTTTTTATCTCAAATAAAAAAAAATGAACACACTAAAATTTAAACAGAACTTGTCT